GGAGCCCCGCCGCCCTCTCCCCCCTGCCCGACCCCGCGGCCTTCCGGGGCTTCGGGGGCTCGGGGGGCTTCGGCCAGAGCTACCCCGCCTATTTCGGGGGGCTCGACCCCTACCTGTCCCCCCTGCCCCCCCAGGTGGGCGGGCTCAGCCCCCTGGGACCCCCCCCCGCTTTCGGGGGGACCCCCGGGCTGGGCTTCGGGGGTGCCGCGGATTGCCTGGAGCTGAAGGAGCCGGGCAGCGCCTGGAAGGTGAATCTGGGGGGCGCCGATTGCCTGGAGTACAAGGAGCAGAGCACCTGGAAGTTCCAGGTGTTGTAGGGAGGATCCTGGGGGGAATTCCGGGAGGTGCGGAGAATTCCCGGGAACACCGAAAATTCCCGGGAACACCGAAAATTCCCGGGAACACGGACAATTCGTTACCGGGGGTGCGGATAATTAATTACCGGGACCACGGACAATTCCCGGGACCACGGACAGTTCCCGAGGCGCGGCTAATTAATCCCCGGGGGGCCGATAATTAATTCCCGAGTCATGGAAAATTACCGGGGGTGCGGATAATTAATTACCGGGGGACCGATAATTAATTCCCGAGGCGCGGACAATTCCCGGGGTGCGGATAATTAATTACCGAGACGCCGATAATTAAATCCCGGGACCACGGAGAATTCCCAGGACCACGGACAATTCCCGGGAACACGGACAATTAATCCCCGGGACGCGGATTATTAATTACCGGGACCACGAGCAATTCCCGAGGCACCGATTATTAATCCCCGGGACACGGACAGTTCCCGGGGGTGCGGATAATTAATTACCGAGACGCCGATAATTAAATCCCGGGACCACGGACAATTCCCGGGACCACGGACAATTCCCGGAGCGCGGATAATTAATTACCAGGGCACGAATAATTCATTACCGGGGGGCCGATAATTAATTCCCGGGGCACGAACAATTACCGGGGCCACGGACAGTTCCCGGGGGCGCGGATAATTAATTACCGGGGGGCCGATAATTAAATCCCGGGACCACGAACAATTCCCGAGGCACCGATAATTAATCCCCGGGGCCACGGACAATTCCCGGGGCGCGGATAATTAATTACCGGGGGGCCGATAATTAAATCCCGGGGCACGGACAATTCCCGAGGGCGCAGATAATTAACTACCGGAGCGCAGATAATTAATTACCGGGACACCGATAATTGATTCCCGGGACCACGAACAATTCCCGGGACACGGATAATTCCCGGGGGTGCGGATAATTAATTCCCGGGGCGCCGATAATTAATTCCCGAGGCGCCGATAATTAATTCCCGGGGCGCCGATAATTAATTCCCGGGGCGCCGATAATTAAGATTAACAGAGGAAATCCCGGCGGGATGGAGCATTCCCCGATCCTCGGGGGATCCCCGGATTTTTGGGGGATCCCGGGACCATTCCCGAGGGATCCCCGGATTTTTGGGGTACCCCAGGACCCCGAGGGATCCCCGGATTTTTGGGGGACTCCGAGGGATCCCCGGATTTTTGGGGGACCCCGAGGGATCCCAGAATTTTTGGGGGACCTCGAGGGATCCCCGGATTTTTGGGGGACCCCAGAACAGTTCCCGAGGGATCCCCGGATTTCTGGGGGACCCCAGGACCCCGAGGGATCCCCGGATTTTTGGGGACCCCAGAACCCCGAGGGATCCCCGGATTTTTGGGGGACCCCGGGACCGATCCCGGGATCCGGGGGGGATCCCCTCCCCCCGCCGCGCTTCTCCGCCGCTTCCCGGAAGGAAAAAAAGCCGGAAAAGCGGGAATTTCAAATAAAAAACAAAAGGGCGATAACTGGGGGGGGTAAATTAGAGTTAATTAACGCTAATGAGGGGAAATGCGGGGGGGCGGGGCGGCTTGGGGGGCTTTGGGATTCCGGGGAGCTGGGGGAGCCCTG